GTATATAGAAAACCCAGCAGGCAGCTGGGCCAGAGATTTAAAAATAGAAGGATATTTTGTTAATGAATATTGAAGCGAAAATCATGTAACCCTATGTTTTCGAGGACTCTGAACAAGATAAAACTGGTTATAATTAGCATACTCAAGGGCAAATTGCTTTAAAATGCACTTGAATGTTATAGATATTATTGGACATTCATGGCGGCCATTGGCGGAAAAGTTTGAGCGAGTTTCCATGTGCCAAATTTGAGATATCACCTTAAACACAAAATATCTCCAATTCGGTGGTTTGTGGTGGTTCCAAGGCATATATATGGAGATCCAACGATACGATTTTCTTGAAACTTTGTAGATAGTAAGATAGCTTTAAAGGACCAGTTAACTGAAAAAAAAGTTATCCTCATATTTTGACAGATTGTGACAAATAGCAAACTAAGCAACGAGTCGAAATTCCTAAATCTCTAACTGCTCTCTAACGCGTGTAAATAACGTTTGTATTATTTTGGCGATGACGTCATAAAGTCCCTTGCGCGCGCAGAGGAGCTTGTGAGACTGTATTTTACAGGTAGAAAATGGACATAATACAATGTTTTTCCCCGAATAACTCGAAAAGTAAGTAATTTAGGGTACATGTTGCTTCATAAGTTGTATATAAACATGGCCATTCTGCACAATTTGCACACATTCAAAAACCTTTAGGGCCTTCATAGCCCAATTTACCAGATACCCATAGTTTTGCATGATTTCTGGAACCGAAAATTAGTTTTTCGCCAATAACTGAAAAAGTAAGCACTTTAAGGCATATGTTTGTTCATAAGTCATATATTAATATGCTAATTGCGGTTCTTTTGCACCCTGTCTAAAGACTCTATCACAATCCTATCGAAAATGGGCTCAGCACCACGCCCAAAATTGTTTTTGGCAAATTTCTCGAAAAGTAAGAATTTTAGGCCATGTGTTGCTCAGTAACTCCTATATAAACATGCATATGCCGCTTCGTTTAAGCCTATTTTGAAGTCTCTACGACCTTCAGAAGCAAGGGGTCGGTTACGTTATTGGGTCAATATGGGCGTGGCCCTCCTGGGTTTTCTCCACGGTCAAAAAAATGTCTCCAAACGAAAATCGTTTATTCATACCTTCAGGAAGGTCTGTGCAAAGTTTCGTGACTATTTGAACATTTGCAGGTTCATTTCCATAAATGTCCATAAATGGGCACTATCCGTCGCGGAGTAGAGTCCGCGGCGGAGCCGCCGGACTCCGAGCGGACTCCGAGCGGACTCCGAGCGGACTCCGGCGGTGCTCCGCCAAAATGTATTTACACTGGACTCGAGTACATTTTGGCGGACTCCGAGCGGAGCCGAGCGGACTTTAAAGTCCGCCGCGGACTCCGAGCGGCTCCGCGGCGGCTCGGCGGAGTGTCCGCCGCGGACTAAGCCACTAGGCGGACTCCGGTCCGCCGCGGACTCCGGCGGAGTGCTTGGCGGACTCCGCCGGACCTCTCCGCCAGACTTGAATCCGGCGGAGTCCGGCGGAGCTTGGCGGAGTCCGCCAGCTCGGCGGACTCCGCTCGGAGTCCGCCGGACTCCAACAGAGTCCACTGACTTCCGACCTCCGACTTCCGACCCTCGGCTAAATTTGTCACGTGACATACAACATAGCATTTTGCAATATTGTGGTCAGATGAAAAGGTCGCTAGTGATAAACCTTAACCATTACCCTCACAATGTCAATTAAATAGTGTACAACTCTAGTCCTAACTTTGACCCTATAATGTATAAACGTTGACCCTAACCCTCCACCAAACCGTCCGCAGCGAAATATCAATGTCATTGACTGGTCACGTGACCAAAACAATTTTTGTCATATTATCTCATATAGGGAAGCGTTTTTAGTTTTACCCTACACGTTGCATGTGGCGTCATTCGGCCGGATCCCAGCAAGCAAAAATACGTCGACCATCACAGGACGACGCCAGCCAGCACTTTCTACGCTCTTCGAGCTCCGATCGTCCTGTGACGAAGTAAGGACGAAGCCTGAGGTCCTCAGGTAACATCGACCACCGATTGAAAATTCAAAGATTTTTTGACATAAAGGTCAAATGTAAAACTAAAATCTTGATGTTGATTGATTGACGACTTCAATTTTTGAGCACAGCGCGAGCGCATGCGTGATGCGAAAAAGGACCGCTAGTCAAGATGTTGATAAATATTTGGCTTGTGGCGCGATGTGTTGCTCTAAGTATAGCCCTCTCGCTTGCAGTAGCGTGCGACCGCCGGAAATGACTTGTGGAACAAGCGCGCCCGCAGCGGCGCGAAAGCACCTGGTTAGCTAGATGAACGCGATGTGCCTTGCATTGTAGGATGAAATCCTACTAGCTGACGCCACTCGCAGCTGTGATGTTCGCTGTACGTCAGCGATCGAAATTTATACGCGTATCACCCGTTAAGATGTGCCACCCGACGCGCCACGCAATTTTTCTCGTTGCTCGTCGCACGTCGACGAACAACGAAGCTCGTTGCGACGCGCAATGAGCTGCCAGGCTAGGACATCGTCCTGGTCCAACAAATTTTGGCGAGCGCGAGCGATTTTCTCCAAAAATTTAATGAGGGCGCCGACTTCCACTCTGGCTAGGTTTCTTCTAATGAGAGTACCCCATCTTATGAACGATAGATGAACTAACAATATATTTTGAAGTTTTTTTTGAAGTATATTATATGTATTAGGTAGTGCGCCATCAACAGTGAGCCGCGCGTGCCGACTGTAGGATGGTTTTTTAGCGCTAATTTCGGCCAGCACAATTTTCTTCAAACAAATAGATATTAAGTATCCTTTCCAACCTCTGATTGCAACAAAATTTGGTAAGCTTACTCATAGACTTACAAGGAAAGTGTCCGAAAAGTTTAAAGCATATCCAACCATCAGACATTATGTTACAGCTAAAAGCAGCGTATTTTGCCCCATTTTGATCACTATATCAACTCCGATATCTGTTAAGAGGCGTACTCGGGTTTCAGCACGACAACTTACTTAACGGCCTATTTAATGCTCCAATTTTCCATGACTTCTAGAGATTATTTATTTATTATATTTCATTAAATTTAGATGACATTAATTTAACTACGTATAATTGGCTCCTTTTAACTAGAGTATGGAAATTCAGGTTCCGATATTATGGAATACCTCCCGGTTTGAGACTCACTCAGGGCACAGTTCAAACCCAAACTCTCTTTGTACAGATACAATTTTAGGACAGTAATTTCTATTGTAATTATGGATTCAGAATTTTAGGTGAATTTATATCTGGAAGATAACCAATTAAAACAAATTAATAAAGGGTTGTAAAATAATTGGGTTAAATAGGACTACAATATTAATTTAACTCTCATATCTCATAACTTAGTCTTAATGTCCATTTACCCCAATAATTGAAGTAGTAGCGAATGTGGCGAGGGTGAAGCGATTAAATAGGATGATTCACGAGGTCGCTGTTCCGGTTCTCTCTCTCTCTCTGAAGAGATCATATATCAATACAAATTTAATAGACCACACTAATTATACGGAATATAGGTATTAATTTCCTACTTCTAGATAACTTACGAACTAGACTCACTATAAGTATAATTTACTAACCAAGGAATAAGAATATAAAGTGGCGATCTGGTCTTTTCATATAGTGGAATGTCAACTAGAACTGAACCATCTTGCATGGTCATCTCGAGGATCTAACATAGTGACGAACGGTTCTCGAGGAAGGAGGGGGGAATCAATCTGAAGTAAGATAATTATAAGTACGGAGCGTTTAAGTAGTGACAATATTCAGATTGATTAAGTTAAATTAAGGGAAAATCTATCGTAGGAACCTCTTAATGAAGACGTAATAAACTTACGAAGCAATACGACTGGTGGAGCTTAGGTGAGGACAGGCAGAGCAAGTGGGGTGGGTATCACTGTCATATTGCCTGGAAATTAATAACTATTAGAACTAATAATTAGTACACAGGAAATAACTATAATACTACAATCGTCAACGTTAACAAGTGGAAAAGTGCTATGATTATGAACGATGGATTAAGGTTTACGTAAGATTTTTACCTCAGGAAAGGAACTCCATAGCCTAATTCTGGAAGGATCTATCGGGAACAGGTAGTACTAGTAGTGCGAGGAATCTAATGAGATATTATGTATATTAACAGCATATTAAGCATTATACGACGGAAATTGACCTAAGTACGAACTAATCTTTAACGTCAACCTTTGATACGAATGCAATCAATGACAATAACATGATCAAGAACTTAATCTAAATTACGAACCTATAATAGAAATGAGTAACATGTGGAGAGAGAACGGATACAGCAGAGCATGACCCCGGGCCGGAGATAAGGGAAAAGGCAAAAAGGCTAAAGGCGGAAGGCGGCGAGCAGCAGGCGAGCTCCCCTTTTTGTAGACTGCTGGTTGACAGGTCTTTGGGGAGTTGAAGGGGGAGTTGATTCTCATGGCACTCTTGTAACACCTCGGCTAGTTCGTCAACACAATAATCAAAAATCAATGCTGTTAAAATAATTGTAAGTATTCTTTTAACTATAAGTTCTAATAAATTTGAAACTTTAACGATCTTCAAGCCACTACTTTTCCCACCGGGAACGTCACAATTCCAAATAACTACTAATTTACAACGGCTTAAAATACTAACTAGAGCTTCACGCCGTGAGACATTTCAATCATACAAACCTTACAACTTTCAGCTTGTTACGCTGACTCTTAATATTTTCTAAATTGATAAAGACTTTAAATTAATTGACCGACTACCCGTCTCTCAGTACAAATATTTTATAAGATACTAATACAGGCCGTGAGATATTTGCAAACCTGTTCACCTTCAATTCACTATACCCCTACCTAACATCTCCCCGATCGAAAATTAATGACGACCACGTCATAGTAAAACTATCTATAATTAAAGAAATGATAAATCTACAACCTTCTTTTTTTTCTTAAAAAAAAAAAAATTTCAAAAGAACCATTAGTAATAAGGTATGCCCGTTCTTATAGTAAAAAATCATTAATTTAAAGAATTATCGAATTTCTCGCGCACAGCCAACAAAATTAAATATAATCGTACAAACAAACATTTGAATTACCATAAGTTAATATTTAAAAGTAAAGTCGTTGTAATTGTAGTGCCTATTCTGGTCGTAGTTATCTTTATTGTCATAGTACTGTCCGTAATTTTCCGACACAATTTGGTCACTATTCTCAGCAGGGTTATAAGTTCCAGGGTCTACTTGTGTACTTGCTGGGGTATTATCAATGATTAGACGACATTACGGAGGTTAACTGTTTTAAGGCACGCAAAGACAGCGAATAACACATACTCGAAGTCTAAGAGGAAAATAAAATCCTAATACTAATAGTTTAATTACGTTAGCGACTTATTATTTACAAAATATAACTATTAATCAAGGTTTAATAAAAATTCAAATCATCAAACGAGTAGCAAACGATGTGGCAAGAGAATATAAATGTGTGTTACGGTTATAATTAAGCTATTAAGTGATGTTCTTTAAGTTCTAGAAAATTGTTTAGGCCGAATTAATTTCAGTTTATTCATAATCAAAAGTTTTCCTGAATGCCTTATGCGGTAATTAATGTGCAGCCACCAGCCATATTTCACAACGTAAATTACCCCAAACTCAACAAAATTTGTATCTCTTATTTCCCAGCATGATTCCACCATGCCAACTTTAACAACATTACTTCTTTATCAACTCATTTCTGTCTCATCTCATTTCAAATATCTTCTCTTCTTCACGTCCGCATACCCTATTACACTAAATCATCTTTATTTTTAAACACAAACCCTTTATCAAATCTCCCTCTGTATCATCATACTTCAAATATCTTCTTTTCTTCACGTCCGCATACCCTATTACACTAAATCATCTTTATTTTTAAACAACAAAACCTTTATCAAATCTCCCTCTGTATCATCATACTTCAAATATCTTCTTTTCTTCACGTCCGCATACCCTATTACGCTAAATCATCTTTATTTTTATACAACAACCCCTTTATCGAATCTCCCTCTGTATCATATCTTCTCTTCTTCACGTCCGCATACCCTATTACGCTAAATCATCTTTATTTTTATACAACAACCCCTTTATCAAATCTCCCTCTGTATCATATCTTCTCTTCTTCACGTCCGCATACCCTATTACGCTAAATCATGTTGCCAATCTTAGTTTCAAAGTTCGAAGGGTCGTACTGAATCCGAAGTGTTTCTAACCACCAAGCGCGCTTTTGGCGGTATCACAACACTCAAATAACAGATAAGAAGCCCATCTACTTATTAAAACTAACACCTTGTCAACAACCATTATAGCACCTCCTCCCAATAAACTTCACAACTTCTGAACCCCGTATCCCTTAGCCGGCTAATAATTTATACTGCAGTTTAATATATCTCCCCATAATATAATTGTCTCACATTTCAACATCTCATCATAACATAATCTCATTATCTCGTAACATCATACATCTCTCGTATCATTCCCATCTTTACCTAATTATACGGAATATATAATATCATCACAACTTACCCACGATATCTCATAATTACTTTTCAACTTCTACACTAAACAATTATCTCTTCAACCTACTTCTCTGCTGTGACTTCATCATTTTATGGCGATGGCTGCAACAACTAATATCAATGTAAATAAATAAATTGCACTAACGGTGCACTAACAAGAAAAACAAGCAAACTAAAGTTTGGTGTCTCTTCCAGATTTTTTGAAAATTTTGCTACAAAATTTTGTACAGAGAGCCGCATTAGGGCTACATTGTTAAGAGGCGTACTCGGGTTTCAGCACGACAACTTACTTAATGGCCTATTTAATGCTCCAATTTTCCATGACTTCTAGAGATTATTTATTTATTATATTTCATTAAATTTAGATGACATTAATTTAACTACGTATAATTGGCTCCTTTTAACTAGAGTATGGAAATTCAGGTTCCGATATTATGGAATACCTCCCGGTTTGAGACTCACTCAGGGCACAGTTCAAACCCAAACTCTCTTTGTACAGATACAATTTTAGGACAGTAATTTCTATTGTAATTATGGATTCAGAATTTTAGGTGAATTTATATCTGGAAGATAACCAATTAAAACAAATTAATAAAGGGTTGTAAAATAATTGGGTTAAATAGGACTACAATATTAATTTAACTCTCATATCTCATAACTTAGTCTTAATGTCCATTTACCCCAATAATTGAAGTAGTAGCGAATGTGGCGAGGGTGAAGCGATTAAATAGGATGATTCACGAGGTCGCTGTTCCGGTTCTCTCTCTCTCTCTGAAGAGATCATATATCAATACAAATTTAATAGACCACACTAATTATACGGAATATAGGTATTAATTTCCTACTTCTAGATAACTTACGAACTAGACTCACTATAAGTATAATTTACTAACCAAGGAATAAGAATATAAAGTGGCGATCTGGTCTTTTCATATAGTGGAATGTCAACTAGAACTGAACCATCTTGCATGGTCATCTCGAGGATCTAACATAGTGACGAACGGTTCTCGAGGAAGGAGGGGGGAATCAATCTGAAGTAAGATAATTATAAGTACGGAGCGTTTAAGTAGTGACAATATTCAGATTGATTAAGTTAAATTAAGGGAAAATCTATCGTAGGAACCTCTTAATGAAGACGTAATAAACTTACGAAGCAATACGACTGGTGGAGCTTAGGTGAGGACAGGCAGAGCAAGTGGGGTGGGTATCACTGTCATATTGCCTGGAAATTAATAACTATTAGAACTAATAATTAGTACACAGGAAATAACTATAATACTACAATCGTCAACGTTAACAAGTGGAAAAGTGCTATGATTATGAACGATGGATTAAGGTTTACGTAAGATTTTTACCTCAGGAAAGGAACTCCATAGCCTAATTCTGGAAGGATCTATCGGGAACAGGTAGTACTAGTAGTGCGAGGAATCTAATGAGATATTATGTATATTAACAGCATATTAAGCATTATACGACGGAAATTGACCTAAGTACGAACTAATCTTTAACGTCAACCTTTTGATACGAATGCAATCAATGACAATAACATGATCAAGAACTTAATCTAAATTACGAACCTATAATAGAAATGAGTAACATGTGGAGAGAGAACGGATACAGCAGAGCATGACCCCGGGCCGGAGATAAGGGAAAAGGCAAAAAGGCTAAAGGCGGAAGGCGGCGAGCAGCAGGCGAGCTCCCCTTTTTGTAGACTGCTGGTTGACAGGTCTTTGGGGAGTTGAAGGGGGAGTTGATTCTCATGGCACTCTTGTAACACCTCGGCTAGTTCGTCAACACAATAATCAAAAATCAATGCTGTTAAAATAATTGTAAGTATTCTTTTAACTATAAGTTCTAATAAATTTGAAACTTTAACGATCTTCAAGCCACTACTTTTCCCACCGGGAACGTCACAATTCCAAATAACTACTAATTTACAACGGCTTAAAATACTAACTAGAGCTTCACGCCGTGAGACATTTCAATCATACAAACCTTACAACTTTCAGCTTGTTACGCTGACTCTTAATATTTTCTAAATTGATAAAGACTTTAAATTAATTGACCGACTACCCGTCTCTCAGTACAAATATTTTATAAGATACTAATACAGGCCGTGAGATATTTGCAAACCTGTTCACCTTCAATTCACTATACCCCTACCTAACAATATCCACCAAATTTTTCGGACAGTTGTGAAAGCCCTATTGGAAGGTCGTCGCCAATTTTCAGAATGATCTCATTCAAGGAACTGAAGATATATCCAAATAATACGACAAAAATCAACGAATTTGGTCAAATTTGGTCAAATTACGCGACTTTTACAGCTAATTTTGCTCCAAAAGCCGCGCACCATCAAATATGGCACCTAGGCGAAACTCACTGATCTTTCCAAAAAGGTATAACAAATTTGGTATTGGGAAAATTCTCACCGTCTCTAGAAAACAATGGTACAAAAATTTTTAAAATCCGAGCAAGTTTATTTTTATGGTGCACCCCCTATATGTATTGATTATTCTGTGGCAAATAAAATTCTCTTTTTCTTAAATTCTCTTTTTCTTAATTTTTGTTCATTGAAATATTACCGCCAGCGAGGAGCCGCAGCTGCGACTGCAAGCCGTGTTACCCATTTCCCTGTACTGTATTGTGATCAGCATGAGTTTAATCAAAGTAATGTGTATCACTCGCTTCACTCGATCCGAAATTAAAGTATATAATCCTACAACGCTAAGCTAGTAATATAGTTTTATGAAAGCACTCTGGCCAAGTCAGTGGATTCTTTTTACCTAATTTTACCTCATCCCATTAAGGAACGCGCGCTGGGTAAAAAGAAACCTAGCCAGAGTGGAAGTCGGCGCCCTCATTAAATTTTTGGAGAAAATCGCTCGCCAAAATTTGTTGGACCAGGACGATGTCCTAGCCTGGCAGCTCATTGCGCGTCGCAACGAGCTTCGTTGTTCGTCGACGTGCGACGAGCAACGAGAAAAATTGCGTGGCGCGTCGGGTGGCACATCTTAACGGGTGATACGCGTATAAATTTCGATCGCTGACGTACAGCGAACATCACAGCTGCGAGTGGCGTCAGCTAGTAGGATTTCATCCTACAAGGCACATCGCGTTTACCTAGCTAACCAGGTCATTTCCGCCTCCGGCGGTCGCGCGCTACTGCAAGCTTACCTGAGGACCCCAGGCTTTAATGTTGTTAATAGAGATTAGGCGGAATGACAGGCTGAGCGGGGCCCAGTAACTGCAAGCGAAAGGGCTATAGTTAGACTTAGAGCAACACATCGCGCCACAAGCCAAATATTTATCAACATCTTGACTAGCTACGCGGTCCTTTTCCGCATGCGCTCGCGCTGTGCTCAAAAATTGACGTCGCGTCGTCAATCTAGGTAGTGCGCCATCGACAGTGAGCCGCGCGTGCCGACTGTAGGATGGTTTTTTAGCGCTAATTTCGGCCAGCACAATTTTCTTCAAGCAAATAGATATTAAGTATCCTTTCCGACCTCCGATTGCAACAAAAATTGGTAAGCTTACTCATAGACTTACAAGGAAGGTGTCCGAAAAGTTTAAAGCCTATCCAACCATCAGACATTATGTTACAGCTAAAAGCAGCGTATTTTGCCCCATTTTGATCACTATATCAACTCCGATATCCACCAAATTTTTCGGACAGTTGTAAAAGCCCTATTGGAAGGTCGTCGCCAATTTTCAGAATGATCTCATTCAAGGAACTGAAGATATATCCAAATAATACGACAAAAATCAACGAATTTGGTCAAATTTGGTCAAATTACGCAACTTTTACAGTTAATTTTGCTCCAAAAGGCGCGCACCATCAAATATGGCACCTAGGCGAAACTCACTGATCTTTTCAAAAAGGTATGACAAATTTGGTATTGTGAAAATTCTCACAGTCTCTAGAAAACAATGGTACAAAAAATTTTAAAATCCGAGCAAGTTTATTTTTATGCAGGTGCACCTCCTAGTCAATCAATTAACATCAAGATTTTAGTTTTACATTTGACCTTTATGTCAAAAAATCTTTGAATTTTCAATCGGTGGTCGATGTTACCTGAGGACCTCAGGCTTCGTCCTTACTTCGTCACAGGACGATCGTTACTGGGCCGCGCTCAGCCTGTCATTCCGCCTAATCTCTTTACCAACATAATAGCCTGGGGTCCTCAGGTAAGACGATCGGAGCTCGACGAGCGTAGAAAGTGCTGGCGTCGTCCTGTGATGGTCGACGTATTTTTGCTTGCTGGGATCCGGCCGAATGACGCCACATGCAACGTGTAGGGTAAAACTAAAAACGCTTCCCTATATGAGATAATATGACAAAAATTGTTTTGGTCACGTGACCAGTCAATGACATTGATATTTCGCTGCTGGCGGTTTGGTGGAGGGTTAGGGTCAACGTTTATACATTATAGGGTCAAAGTTAGGACTAGAGTTGTACACTATTGACATTGTGAGGGTAATGGTTAAGGTTTATCACTAGCGACCTTTTCATCTGACCACAATATCGCAAAATGCTATTGGCTATGTTGTATGTCACGTGACAAATTTAGCCGAGGGTCGGAAGTCGGAAGTCGGAAGTCAGTGGACTCTGTTGGAGTCCGGCGGACTCCGAGCGGAGTCCAAGCTCCGCCGGACTCCGCCGGATTCAAGTCTGGCGGAGAGGTCCGGCGGAGTCCGCCAAGCACTCCGCCGGAGTCCGCGGCGGACCGGAGTCCGCCTAGGACACTCCGCCGAGCCGCCGCGGAGCCGCTCGGAGTCCGCGGCGGACTTTAAAGTCCGCTCGGAGTCCGCTCGGCTCCGCTCGGAGTCCGCCAAAATGTACTCGAGTCCAGTGTAAATACATTTTGGCGGAGCACCGCCGGAGTCCGCTCGGAGTCCGGCGGCTCCGCCGGAGTCCGCTCGGAGTCCGGCGGCTCCGCCGCGGACTCTACTCCGCGACGGATAGTGCCCATAAATGACTGGACTACACAACTTTAGAGTTAACTTTAGAGAAACTCATAAGTCATTTATCTCAAATTAAGCTGTTAGTGTCCATGATCAACCTGTGGCGACAATGTTTTACGTGAAATGTAAAAATCAGGAGTAATATAAAAAGTGTATTTTTAGATTAAAGTGCTAGCTCATAGTTTTAGAATTGTATAGATTAACGTTGGTCGTTTAGCCATCTAACAATCGATCGTGCCGTAATATATGGCCAGAGAATAATAGGGTCTTGGAAATTTTATAGTTGTTCAGTGGGTCGATTGACTGAACACGTTTGCACTTGGTATTTAAACTTACCAGTAGTTTATTTATGTTATGTACCGATGATAATGCAACTAGGATAACAACTAGGTAAGCCGTAAGTCTAATTCAAAACACACCGCACACCGTACATTCCAATCATTTGGTAGACCGGGTATTTTGGCGGGAATTCTGTTCCCACGGCACTGTTCTGATAGAAGCTGCTTCTACTAATGGTCCCAGAGGAACGGCTGTAAAGTAGCCAGACTTCTTGTCTCCTGTACTGGCTGACACATGCGTATTAAAGTTAGAAATTTCGCTGTGATATAAATATAATTGCTCTCGGAATTGAACAAACTCCTACTTATCTAGATCCTTTCTAAATTCGTTAGAGTTTCATGGACTGGGGAAAAATAATCGGTACAGTCTCCCTGCTTGTGTAATTAAGCAATGAAAACAATCCAAAATTATCACATATGACATAAGTTGTAATAGCAGAAACTTTCTAACCGTACATTCACCCGCCACTGGGCACTGTTCAAGAACCTATATCACTGTTTAAAATCATGACGTGAGCACTGTACATCCAATCAGCTATTCCTTTAGTTAGGATGATAGCCAAAACTATAAGGATTTTGGAGAACTAGCGTAATAGTCATAATTCTAAAATTTGAGTGAGTTACACGTGTTTTATTGACGATGATAAACATTTGCAATGTATTACGCTATGCAAGCGCGCACTGAGGGACTTTATGACGTCACGAGGCCACAGCTTATTATTGCAATAACACGCGTTACACGTACGCTAGAGAATTGGTTCTTTCGGCGATACGGTTTTTTTACCAGTTTGTCACAGCTGATTTAAATCTTAGCCAAATTGGAGACTACAAATTTTTCAGTTAACTGGTCCAATAATTTGTGTAAGTTTGGGTGAATTTCTATGTGCCAAATTTGAGATATCACTTTAAACACAAGAAAATATTACTGTCGGACAGATGTCGCTGTCGGACAGATGTCGTGTTACCCTTCGAGACAATACCATGGCTGAAATTAAAACAGGCAGGCAAAAATTCTTTGATTCGTTGATCCTCATCAAAATTGTTATGGTTTAAAAAGACGAGAGAAAATGGCGGAACACGAGGTCAGAAGAAATAACTTTCACTACTGGGTAACAATATCAAACCAGACTAAGAAGTCACGGACTTACTGGTCTGTGTGTGGGTATTTATAGACATGCAGCCCTAGAGCGAATCAGAATGCTGGATCGATATCACGTGACCATGGGCAAGCCAATAGGTTTAGTACGAACAATGTTGGCTTTGTTTAGGGTTAGGGTTAGGTACTGCATAGGTTATTTTGAACAAAAGGTGGTAAATTCCCCAAAAGGAATAAAAACGATCATGCCTGTCTGTGAGATTAACGTAACAAAACAAATGCTGAGCTGAATAATAGATACAAAAATTAGTTGACCATCGAAATAATTTTGATGAAACATTTTGATAAGAAGTAATGATTGGAACAAATCGTCGAATTGAATTTGATTGTTCTGGAAAGCCAATCAAATTCAAAAGTCATAATGTGATCAAAGCTATCTCTTTTCGTAAAATTAGGCGACCATCAATAATTTGGACCTTAGACTCCGTGTCTGACTTGTCTGGCCTGTTGATTATATTACTGTAACTCTATTGCCATGGTTTTGTTTAGCACAAAATGGTACAGGGCCTTATAGGCCTTGGAAACTATAAATCAATTGTTGGTAGCTGTGATGGGCTCCCCGTGCAGAAATGCATGAATGTCTTCCTCCTCGCTTACACTTGTGTGAGCGGTTCTTCACCAACAGTTGAAATTCGACATCTAGCGTCAAATAAGGC